GTTCATATGAATGCAAGCTGTGGATGCTGCGACACCCGTTGCGGATCAGCGACGTTACATGTACTGTGACCGAGCAAGATTGGCGTTTGCCCGAAATTCAGCGTTAATAAGAGATGTCACAAGTACCTCGCGAGTGTCTGGTTGAATCTATCAATGGCAATTAACTTATACCTCCACTGAATTGTTATCCCGATTCTTGTGTCATGTATGATTATGTCATCTTCACCCACACCACATAAGATATTTGCCGCTTATGCCCACATGCTTCGTCCGTATGTCTGTGTGTACCGTATAGCCAGTCAGAATCAAGACACCACGGTCAAGCCAAGGCTCAACAGCATGCCCAGCCGCGGAGGGCTTTCGTATCAGACATACCGAAGTCTACCCCTATGCAACTCAAGGAACCTCAAAGGCAGCATCTAGGTTGCTGCCGTTCGAAGGAGACTGGGCTCGGTGGTGGTGCCACGAGCCTGTCAACCTCGCGTGGCGGTGAGCTGTGGCCGGCATTCGGTAATGGATATCGGTTTTTCGCCAAGAGCATCTCACTCAGAGTTTTATCCAAGCTGTTCAGATCCTGGAAGGTCAGAGACTGAGGGATGCGCAGCGCGGGCAAGACAGCGGTGGCCGTCGAGAGATATTCCTTCATGATGGAAACTTTCATGCTGGGTTTTGATATTTCGTCGTACGCAAGTTCATCTGCAGTCATACAGAGTCAAAATAAGAAAGCACAACACAGAGGGATACTTGAAGAAGAGTCGAGATAAAGGCATTTCCGAAGATCGATTTACTGTAAAAACCAAATATTACACATCATAGATATTTTTCCATCCTGTTTCCAGACCTCGAATGATACCGTGCTCGGTAAGACGCCAAGCATGTCGGAAACATGACCAATAACGTTACGCGAAATCAGAGGTTAAAGCAAAAGAGTGGGCCCGACTGGCCAATCAGGACAGTGCAAGCTATCGTAATATAATGTATACCAATGGTCGCTGCTCGGCCATGAGACCACATTCTGTTTGGAGAAGCGCACTTCCCTTTTGTGAACGATACGTTTATTCAAACACGCCGAAGCCATTCCCAAAACACTGTAGCACCCTTGTAACATCAACCAGACCTAGAGCCGCACACGCCGCCCTAACAGGGCAGGAATAATGGCACTGGCAGCGCCTCTCTTCAACCGCCCCTGAGCCACTCGAAATCGAAGAGAAGAGAGGCCTCAATAATTAAAATAAACTTTGGAATCGACTTCATTACCGGATCTAAGCGTCATACGACAGAATTTACTGTACCTGAGGATCCGGGACTAAATGGTCAGAGGACACAGAAACAAACATCTCTTTGATCCACCAATAGACATTTGGAACTGTGGATCCTCAGCAGTTATGACTGCACTATCCAATGATGGCTCAGGGGTAATATTAGCTTGATTGGAGGGTCTTGCCAAAATAGTTCTTGACTTCTGGAGCTTCCACGCCACCTTCAGTCCATACATTACCTTCCCATAGAAGAAATCAGCAGGGACCTGGGATGTACTACTGGAGGTAGCTCTCGACGCACTAATGCGAGACTAATGCGAGGTTCAGTCCCGAGGTTTTTGACACCCACGTCACGTTGGACTTGGTGCAGAGATCCCAATTTTGAGAAGTTCCCAGCCACCTCGAACCGACTGCTTCATATCATCGTAGGCCCAAAATGGACGCGCTTGTGCAGTCGAGTCAAATTTCAAGCACCCCATAATGCGGACAAGTTTGCAGGTCGTTGTTGCATTGCCTGAATGTTACAGTAACGCCTGCAGGTGCCCTATTTGAAGAGCAGCCAGCAGGGATCTTGAACACAAGAGGCATGTACTGTAGCTTCCCCTACGATAGGAAGTACGGTTTACAACGTTCGACCAACAAAAAAAAAAGCTGCGAGCACTTAGTTGCCCAGCGTCGGTCACTACGAGACCTTGCTTTTGGCCATTTGAGCTGCAGGCTCTGGAAATGACCTAATGTCCAAGCCCCCCGGTAGTATTCCAAATGCGGAGCTTGACTACCGTCTTTTTACATAGACAGGGGACGATCACTGTTGTTCACGAGTCTCTTTAGACCGCTTGGCTTCGGGGAAAGCAGACCATTGACCTTACGATTCACCAGCCTTACCAGGAAAAGACCCGGTACTTGCGTTCTCTAGAAGGGATGTGTCTTGTCATTGCGATCCCTGTCCGAATGATGCGGGTATCGGAAACCCCAGAACTTAACCTCGCATTAGTGCAAACGTCCGCGGATGCACGCTTTGCAGCAGTCTCGCGCTGATATCGGCAGGTGCGGTGATTGGTAGGCGGTCGAAAGAGACTTGAAGTCTCCCACGAAGTTAGCGCTTCTGCCTTCTTTCTGCTCGCGAAACAGGCATTGGCACGATCTGCATGCCCGCTCTTTTAGGCATAGTCAGAATCCTGCAGCAGCCATTCCCAATTCATGGACAGGAACATTGAGTGGGCCTCAATGTAGCCCACAATCAGCCAAGCACGAACACGGACCAAGCAAGGATGAGTGCACTGTCATACAGATGGGCCACTCGTTGAACGAGACACCGGCTATTGCGGGCTGTGATAGACGACGGTAGGGAAAATGGAGCGCGATCTATTCAAGTTGGCTGACGTCGCTACAAATCGATTCGCTGCCGTGCGTTGAGGTGAAGGAAACGCGAATCGTCAATGTCAAACAGCGACAATCACCCGTACCGAGTGGGGTGTTGGATAGGGGTCAACTCTTGCAACAGTGGATGCAACTAATGAGAACGGGCTAGGCCACTCCGTTCTCTTCCTTGCTATACCCGGTCAATCGTGATCTGCGTACTGTATTTAGCATGGTTGCCTTGCCGGTTGCCTCATGGTCCACGAATCACCAATTGTGACACTAACCTTGGGGCTGAATAGAACAGTATCGGCAATAGCACCGTTTCCCATTGTTGACAATCGACGCAATCTTACACAAACAGCTTTCTAGGACGAACAGTATTCTAGGTCTCAATGATCTTTATCACAGCCTCAGCGCCGTCTTTTCATCGGCCACTTGCCTTGAGCCAGCGATCCCTGTCCACTGCGCCCCGGCCGCCTGCATCAAAGTAATAAGGTGACCAACTGATCGTGTGGCCAGGCAGTTGCGCCCAGGCAGATCCAGCAATGGGCGAATCAAAGATCATAATGCGCAAAACAAAGCAAAATGTAACGGCACCGCCTGCTGCGACGGGGATTCAGCATACTGGTCAAGCGATACGTGCGCCCTGCAGTGCTGCATGTACGTTCATGTAGGCTGGCATCATCCCTGGTGAGATGTGGGAAGTATTACTTTTGAGCACACATTCCCGGGGAGGGACTGACCGTGCCATGGAAATGAGGCTGCACATGCATGGGCTTGGTCTGGGGCCTTGGTTCAAGGCAGCACAGCTCAATCTCTCACGAGTCCCTGTGTCTGGATGGCTTCCACGCCCAGATCTAGAATTTGGTGTTCATGAATGGGCAAGAATGTCAAGCCTCCACCCGTCAGCTCCATCGGCAACCTACCATGGTGCTCTCTCATGCGACACCATGGCGACACGCCGCTCTGATCATGAGTTCTTCTTAATGTGACTACTAGATCGCCTCGCTAGGAATTTGACGCTCCAGCAGAGAATTGAATTAGTGAATACTTGAAATGACATTCAGCACAAGCTTGACAATCAGCTGGCTAGTAGGTGGCACTTGAATGACTAATCGGATGTGTATGTGCATGCGGGACAGAGGTTTGGGTGGCCACTCGGCAGATGATGTTATGATTGTCAAGCTCATGATATAGTCAGCTCTGAATCATTCCGTCGATGACCCATGGGCTACGATGATCAATGTGCGAAGTGGTGAGGTAGGTAGATAGGCCGAACTGGGAGGAATGAGGCTCTGGGTGGGCGAGAGACACTGATGGTCGTGCGAAAGCAGAGCCGCATGGTGCGCGGACTGTTTTCAAGGAGGGCAGGCCTTCAGAAGTAAGGTGGATAGCTGGCCATGCGGAGTGCCAGCCGTAGTAGGGCACTCACAACCCCTTCAGTACTCAGTCGCCGCAGCACTCTTCTATTATGGTCCGCGAACCTGCGTAAGAAAGTATAAGGGTTCTTTCCGGAAGTCAAAAAACTTTCCAAGGTTTTGGAAAGTCTATGTCCTCTCATTTCTTGGACCGCAAAGTCATCTACAGACGCGCTTTTGATTTAAGCTGATAAGTATACATTTGCTCGCGCAAAATCAATCCGACTTGGTGATGGCCAACCTGGCACAGGGATGGATAAACCATTTACGGCGACAAGCAAAGAAGTCCGTCATGATCATACCGGCCAACTTCGCAGAACCCAGCTGACATCTGCAGTGACCAAGCTGCTCCGGCAAGCACAAAAGAGCCGCCTCCTCCTGAGCCATCCAAAGACCAGCCATCCCAAGAGTCTAGCAATGACAATATCGACGACACTACTCCGCCATAGCCCTCTGCTCCCACTGCGAGCGGCGAGCCCACCCAAGAGGATGCCACGCCGGCGAGAAAAAGGTTAAAGAGCCCGACGAACTCCGTCAAGGCAGGTGATCGCACTCGGTCGCCTTCTCCGAATAGGCGCTCAAAGGGCAGACAAAACACCCCAGCAGGCGACGAGTCCACGGCCGACTTTCCCGCAAGACCTAAAGGTAGAACAAATGGCCGCTTGTGGGATGAGGGCGATCCCATCTTAACTCGCAACCCGGCTGCCCAGCCCTCTCCTCAACAACATTCACGTCCGTCTCGACGCCGCGAGAACAAAGTCAGTAGCCAGACGGTGGAAGAGGAGGATCCTCCCGTGAATACAATGCTTCCACAGCCTGAGACTCGTCCGATCAGTCAGGAGCAATTAGTTGCCGAAGTAAAAGGAATTTATGCGGGCCTGGTAATGTGCGTCGATTTTAGTCCTGTTCCGCGACCGTATCCTTATCTCGTGATGCTCCCTCAACTGACTCTCGATGATCTAGGGTTGAGTCTAGATGCATCGAGGTGGATAGTTCGCAAAGCGCACAGAATAATTCAAGTCCTAAGCTTAGTAACGAACAATGGCAAGCGTTGATTGCGCTGCACCGTACGCTCTTGCATGAACATCACGACTTCTTTTTAGCCTCGCAACATCCGTCGGCAAGCCCGGCTCTGAGAAGACTTGCATCAAAATATGCCATGCCAGCAAGAATGTGGCGCCACGGTATACATTCATTCCTTGAATTGTTGCGCCACAGGCTTCCTGCGTCGTTGGAAAATATGCTCACTTTCATCTACCTCGCCTATTCCATGATGACTTTGCTGTACGAAACAGTGCCCAATTTTGAAGACACATGGATCGAATGTCTCGGAGATCTCGGTCGATACCGTATGGCTATCGAAGATGAGGACATACGTGACCGAGAGATCTGGACAGATGTGTCGCGGTACTGGTATTCGAAGGCAAGCGACAAGGCGCCCACCACAGGAAGACTGCATCATCACCTGGCAATTCTTGCACGGCCGGATGCGGTCAAGCAGCTGTTCTATTACACCAAGAGTCTGTGTGTTGCGATACCATTCAAATCCGCCAGAGACAGCATTCTCACCCTGTTCAACCCGATCATCAACGGAACCCAGACTCGGCTTCAAGCCATCGACCTCAGCTTCGTGAAGGCCCATGGTATCCTTTTCATTACAAGCAACACAGGCGAGAAAGACAAAGCTTTCCCAAATAACCGTGACGAACTCATGGTCGAATACGAAAGGGCAAAGAATGAGTTTCTCTCACATCTGGATAACCACATTGCGCGAACTACCAGGAGCTGGATGGAGCCTGGCGCGTTGATTGCTATCTCAAATTGCAATTCTCTACTGGAGTACGGCAAAACTGAGGCAAACACCAATGGCGATCCCAGTGTTTTGATGACTGCCATTCTACCAAAGTCAGACAGCGACACCTTCATGGGAGATTCAACCGATGACAAGCTAGTACCATCCAAAGTCTTCAGGGAGGCCTCTGATCTTGCCAAGCAGTGTGACGCAATCATCTCTCGCCGCTACGGTGACCCGAACGTTCTGCCTTATCTCAATGTCCGCTTGTCTTTCATGAGGTTCATATGTGGCAACGAAACCGCTATAAGGCATCTGAAAGACCGTTTTCCTTGGAAATTGGTGGCTCTGATGCTTAACTCTTTGTCAATACAGTGCCAGAATCATGAGCGAGTTGAGTCTGAAGCATTCCCTCGGTCAGACGACCGACCTTTGCCTGAAGATTGGCACCTCCGAGGGCTCCTCTGGGCTGACAAACTGTTCCCGCCTGACTGGTTCAACAATGACAAGATCGACGACGACGAGAGAACATTCGAGCTGCCTTCCACGACCGAGAACAGGAAAGAGCGTGTCCTCTGGCTGGGCTATCAACTCGCCGTTCCTGGCAAGTGGCTCAGGTATGACAAACAAAGCAAGCAGTTCACTGTCACACCCGAGTTCCAGAAGAGTATCCAGAGCGTGAGGGTGCTAGTCTGACGGGGGAGGACTCTTCGTTGTGCCCATCAACCTCCGATCATCTTCAGGATCACAGTGGGACAGTGCAGGGGACCAAAATTCGCTCAAAGATTTGATATGTGGAACAGCATCAGATCGCCGACGAGTCCTTGCCCAGGTAGATAGCAATGTGAAATAAACAGTTGCAGTCGAAGAACGCCAGTTGGTCATCGAAAGCCCACGGGGGGAATCGTGGACGAAGGGAGATAGGCCAACGGGGAATGTGGAGCGATTGGTGCGAGGCTTCGTCCGACTGTTGTAGGCTGGAGATGGTGACTAGTGTTGTTGCCACCGGCTGCGGTCCCAGAGGAAGGATGACTTGCTCGAGGGTTGTCGACACTCTGCTGTTCTTATACCTCCAAGATATCCGCCTCGACCGCACGACTCCCGAAATAAGAGACAGCTCCAAGTCCCTCAATGACCTGACAGCAACGATAATAACCCGCGTCATATTCGTCACGACTGGACGGGACCTCATTGTCCCCAAAGAGCAGCGGAAATGCGAAGGCTCGCCCTGAAGAGTCATTTGGCAGGGAAGTGGCAAAATTCAGGATCGATTCCCGACGCCACAAATTTGGAGTCAGATGGGAAGATGACACCGCGGAAAATAAGAACCGCGCAAGGGAGGTTGTGTTCTTTGAGTTTGTGGCGAGGCCGGAATTCATTTGGACGCACCGATGGAGTTGCCGGCTTGAGAGTGCTAGGTCAAGTCAGCGATACAAGATCGATCGTGATTCTGCCTGAACTAGAGTGTGTCGTCAATGGTGGGCCAATAGGTACATTTTCTGGGGCAGTACAACCCTAATACGTCCTAATCACCCAGGCTCGGCTCGAATGAATCAGGGACAAACACAAGGTTGAATCTTACAATAATCGTCGCAAATTTCATTTCATTTCTTAATCTGAGACGACAATTTCTAACTCCTAATTGTATAGCAACTTCGGACCGCACTCACAACCCCAAGGATTGTAAGGACTAGCTGGTGCGAGTTCAACAACTCTACGCCAACACTTTGTACATCCGACATGTTTCCGACATGGCTGCCATATTATGTCTGAAAACTCGTCGAATTCCTTGCCGCAGTCGAAGCATTGACGTGCCTCGGGCGGCAGGATAGCCATGAAAGAGTTCGTAGCCACGCGTGGATAAAGAAAAGTCGGATCCAGGTCCTTCTCGTATACAATCCGTTGAAGGCTTGAAACTTTCCCGATAAGCTCTTTATATGCATCGGGGTTGCGTTCTCGAAGCTGGTTGAAGGCTCGTATTCTGTAGGTCTCGGGGGTGTCATTAAGAGCCAAGGCCAGCGAGTCCCTGTCCCAGACCATGTTCAGGGTGGGGACCAAATCATTGAAGGACTTGGCCCTGAAGAGTATGTTGTACAATTTGCGTCGATCGCTGGCACGACAGTCATCGTAGCACCATTTGAAAAGAAAGCCTTCGGCGTCGCGAATAGGATCTGTTGAGGGCACTTGGATCTCCATCATTAAGTTAGTGATTTAGTCCACGTCAATCTAGATCTGCGAGGTCTATCCCAGACGAGCTTTTATACCTATTTCGAATGGACTTGAAAAGGGTTACACCTAAAAGAACTTGTCGAAATAGTCACTTTTAAGGCCTACAATAAGCTTCAGACCATTTCTGGTGCCGCGCTGATTCAAGGCCCACGCTGATTCGGGTTCTCAAGTGGCTCGAGACCAAGCTCGCAGCGATGCCGCACCTCAGAGGATCTAAGAGGTATTTTGGATTCCCAATAGCTAAGGATCAGTTGAGGAATACCAGACAATAGAATGATGGATTGAGAAACATCAAGGCGCGAATGCACCTGCAGTGTATGGTATTCGTGGCTCAGACTTTCTTGGACAAGGTGCGGCCAAACGTTATTGAGTATTTCGAGCTGATATAAACTCCAAATATTTAAACGAGAAGACGATGAGGTGCTTGATTCCCACCTTGCAACACCGGATTTCGTACTTCTAAAGAAACAGGGTTTGCGGAAATGTATGTCCAACCAAACTTCCCTACATAATCCTTTTTCGTCCCTCGCTGATCGGCCCTCAGAGGAACAGATCTCCGCGCAGACCCGTTCGCAACAGGAGAATACAAGCCCTGAGATCACGATCGTGTATGTCAATAATGATTTTTTTTTTTAATTATTATTTCTCAAGTCCACAAGTTCTGACATCAACAGGCGAAGTTTCCACGGACATGTGATCCCCGATGAAGTGGACAGACCGCAGAGGCTCCTTCTCACGATGCGCGTGATCACGATGGAGGACATCGAGAGGCAGCTATTTGCAACCATTTCATGGAAAGGACCCGGCGAAGACGGCCTACCAGCAGCCGTCTGGAAAGAGACCTGGCCCGTGGTCAACCACCGGGTCTTGGCTCTGTTTCCCACGTCGTTAGAGGAAGGAAGACTGCCCGACCAATGGAGGCACGGGAAGATTGTTCCGCTGAAGAAGCCGGCCAAGAACGACTAGACCGTGGCAAAAGCCTGGACGCCGATGTCCCCGCTGGCGAGGCTTGGCAAGGTTATGGAATCACTGATCACAGGGAGGCTCTCGTACCTAGTCGAAACCTTTGGACTTCGTCCGACCAACCACTTCGGGACCCGAAAACAACGATCAGCTGATCAAGCGCTCATGCTCCTGAAAAAGCAGATTTAAGCGGCCTGGCCGGGTCGCAGAGTCTTTAGCTTCGTCAGGTTCGAAATCAAAGGGGCGTGTTACGCTGCGGGCATTGCCGAGCTGGCCATGCTGTGATGTAAACTCAAGTCTATATATGGCTTCTCACTCATTTCTCATGGTAAACTAAATCAAATCCTGAGGAATAATAAGTATGGATATAAGTCTATGTTCAATCCTGGCATTTTGAATTGTATAGGCGGCCTTAGTGCTATTAACGTCAAACACCAACGAGCGAGCTACCTCAGCGAGCGAGACACTTTTCAGGACCAACGGCACAACAACTTGAATTGCAACACCGCAACAAAGAAAATCAATTGGCTATCAATCGTAGTCTGAATCTGCAGACTATATTACCTCTTTGTCACAAGTTCGCGCATTATGCCGGGTTTCGCCACAGCGCCGCACAGCCGGTCCGCTGCGGACCGGCTCCTCAGCACCACCACTTATTTCACAAGCTGGCCGCTTCCCTTCTCCTTGTCATTAATTATCTCTCTGGTCACTTGCGTACGACCTGTCCCTCCAGGTTAGATAGAGCCGGCAGAGGTCGGTTTGACGGCGCGTCGGGACATGGGGGGGGGGGGGCCGCCGAAGCTCGTGACCCATTTTGGGCCTTCACTAGGATTCTTTGTGGCCCTTTTGTGAACCTCAACCACCACGCTTGAGAATTCCAGTATGACGATGGAAGATCCATCCCAGCCAAGAAGTGCTTGCCATCATTATAGTAGGCTTGATGAGCTTTATCCTCGGATTCATGGTCCTTGTGTCTGCCTTAAACCCCTCTGGAACTAATCCTTGGGAGGTAGACTAAACTCACAATGGCGACGTTGCAGTGTCAAACGCGTATAGTAATGAGAAGCATCACGTCCATACCCTCTGAAACAAGCAACTAGTATTCAAAGCAATGTGGTAATGGGTTGGGAATACCCTCTGCGTTGGTATCGAGCGTATAACCCCATATAGGGTCCACGATGGCCTACTTTTATTCCCGTAATCTACGTCCTTCACGGCATGTAAATAATTGTTGAAAGGGGCCCTGATATAGGGACGGAAATTAGGCCCGAAATTGGCCATTGAAAAGCAAGATGGAGTGCCTCTGATCGAGCTCTCAGGTCATCATCACACATTCCCCTCGATCAGGAGTATTTGCCTCGTATCCCTGATATAACAATGACAGCGGCGATTGAAATACCCTCCAATGTACATGTCTTCCGCAGTAAGCATTACAGGACATTTTTCACCACAAAAAAGACCAGACCAGTCTCATGTGTCGTCAAGGAGTTGCGCGAACAGCTTGTGCCAGACCTAAGTGTTGGCAGGTCAGACCTTCAATTATTGACACAACCAGATGGACATAGAGTCGAAGGTAGAATGAACGCACTGGGCGTGCTGTTGTCTAGGCTCGCAGTTCATGAAAATGCGCGCCTGGAATGTAACCAGGGCACGGATAACATGAAGGAAGCGGATGTGCAACTAGCCAAATACATATGGGACACTGAAAAGGCGTTGTGCACTTCTTTATTCGCATACTGATCTAACCTGTGACTTGAAAAGAGAAATAGAGGACAAGTTTCAGACCCTCAAACGAGAGCTGGTGGCTTGGGTTCAATCGACTGGAGCGCAGCGATCTTGTTGTCACGGCATGGTGGAGTACCTGCCGGACCAGCGGATTTTGGGGACCAATGCTCTGCCGAACGCGCCCTCGATCCCCTGCATCGCCGCATCTGGGTCCAGCTGGTCACAGGCAAGGGTCCTTTCCAAGACAATCAGAATGCGCAGACTAACAATACGCTAATGCTTGGTATGCGCTATCTGAGATCTTCACGAACATGCTCCACGACCCGAAGCTACAAGGTGTCTACCTGGTTGTCGACGCACTAGATGAGTGCGAAGAGGGCCTACCACAGCTCCTCGAGCTGATCATCGAGACCTCGCAATCAGTCCCTGTCAAATGGCTCGTCTCAAGCCGCATCTCGTCGCAAATCAGAGAAGAGACGTATTACGTGGCGCAGGAGCTAGCACTTGAGGTCAATGCGAAGTCGGTCGCAGCGGCTGTAGATAGGTGTATCATGCACAAGGTGTCCCAACTTGTGCAACGGAAGGGCTATCGAGACAACATCGCGGAAGAAGTGCGTCAACATCTATTGTCAAACGCCGAGAGCACCTTCCTCTGGGTCGCCTCAGTCTGCCAGAAACTTGAGGAGGGGCGCCATGGGAATGTTCTGCAGAAACTGAAGTCCTTTGGGTCTCAGTGCTCTTTATGAACGTATGATGCAGCAACTCCACGCATCGGAGGACGCCGACCTCTGTACATAGGTGCTTGCTCTCGTAGCAACGACCTATCGCCCACCTTCACTTGCCAAGCCCACTATGTTTATCGAAGAAGGCGGCAGCACAGTAGATCGAATTGGTTGTAGAGATCGTTGGTCTTTGCAGTTCGTTCCTGACGGTTCGCGAGGAGACAATCTACTTTGTCTACCAGTCGGCAAAGGACTTCTTGATGAAGGAGGCATCCGACATCGGCTTTCCCGAACAGCAAGCAGTCGTCCATGGTCAGATCTTCTCCAAGTCGGTCGAAGCCATGTTCCAGACATTGAAGCGCGACATCTACGGACTGGATAGTCTTGGATTTGCTATCGAGGATGTCCCCCGCCAAAGACCTAATCCGGACCCACTGGCGACGATAGCGTACTCCTGTGTCTACTGGGTTGACCACTTGATCGATGCTAGTAAAGCCTTAGATACAGCCGGTAGCGTACCAAACGACGAGGCGGTAGCTAGGTTCCTACAGAGTCAGGGCCTCTATTGGATCGAGTCGCTAAGTCTCCTCCGCAGCATGTCGGAAGGGATGCTCGCAATGGAAAAGCTGCTACGGTATTTGAAGGTTAGGCGACGGACCTCTGTTATCATCTGTTATAGAGCTAATAGTATAAAGGAACGGTTGGGGGCATCTATGCTTCAGGCGCTCGTGAAAGACGCCTACCGTGTTCTGCAAACCTTCCGGCCGGCGATCGATCGCCGGCCGCTTCAGGCATATGCATCGGCACTCGTATTGAGCCCAAAAAAACAGCCTAATGCGTAGACTGTTTGTCCATGAGAGGCCGCAGTGGTTTGAGTGTAGAACAGAGTTGGCGGAGCAATGGGGCGCGTGCGAGGTGACACTCGAGAGCCATACCGACACGGTGTGGTCGGCAGCCTTCTCGCCAAACGAGCAGTACATCGTCTCGGCGTCAAATGACAAGACCGTCAAGCTGTGGGACACACAGAGTAGTGTGTCTAAGGCGACATTTGAGGGCCATCTGTCCTCAGTCTTAGTCGTGGAGTGAAAAGTATAAGTTTTGTTCGTAGCTTTGACGGAAAACGTCAGTGACACGCAGGGCGAGGAGCGAGCCGATGACGAAACGAAGATAGCGAGAAGAACGCAAGATTGGACGATAAGGACCAAGCGAGGAGGCAGGTTGCTTTTGGGCCAGATTACCCCATGCCATCTACTGCAAGTGACGTCGGCGAAGGGGAAAGCGGTGATGGCAATTCATTCGTACCCGAAAGCCAGGGTGCTGAGAGGTCCGGAGCTGATGCGGCCAATAAATCCGACGCGAAAAAAAACACAGAGCTCATTTCTCGACAGCCTCGCCAAGCACGTGGCGCGAGAGCTGCGGGTGAAGCAGCAGCTGGCTCGGGTCCGTGATCAGAGGACCACAAAACAATTTCCAGGGGCGAGCTGCCTACTTACCAATGTGTTCCCAATTTCCCGAGGTCCTGAAACTGCCCCGTGAGGTCCTAAAATTGGTGCAGGAGTCGGCCTCATCAACATCTAGCCGAAAAGCGGGGCGTCGGGTAAATACGGCTAACTGGGTTGTGCGTCTTTAAATTTAGGCACCCCCGCTCCCCGAGACGTTCAGACTCCCTCACCCACTACTCCATGCCCCTCATCGCAATTTTTGGCCGACGAACTACACGCATATCAATCACACGTTCGAGGAGAAAGATGTCATCCACCTGTCCTAACTGCAGCGGTAAGGGTATTGCTGGCGGATGCCCAGGCTGTGGGACAAAGCCCAAATAATCTCAACACTCAAATCAACCGCTGTCCGTACAAACACTCGTCTCACAAGATATAGTGCTGACTTCACAATCCAGTGGCGTTGATCGCGATTATCCTTGCTCCTCGAAGTTAAAGCCGACACCGGCAGTCTCCATTTTTTCAAATAACTCCTTCGCAAAGGGGTCCGTCACCCTTAGCGGCGTCCATGTCCTCACCGAGTCTCGCGTTCCAAATATAAAAGTCATAGCCGAACCTTTCTCGAAATGGAAATTAGTACGGGGGTCAAATACTACGCTAGGGTGGTGTTAGTGTAGTCCTGCAATTATATGAGGTTGCCTTACAATCCGTTCGACAGTTCTTCGCTGATATTGTGTGCTTGAAGTGCTTCCCGAGAGTTTGTGAACCATGTTTTGGTCATGACCGGCCAAGCTTCGCGGTGAGACCTGGCGTAGCACTTTACGCTTGTCGCTGCGCACATTACATGGAGGCCCAGATATGGAATATCGAATTCGCTGTTTGCCGGGGGCTTGACCGCATTGCGCGCGAGGAATGTAGGGGTACCTCCTGTAGAGAGGATACCCCACCGCATCCAATGTGCAATGAGGCATGGTCCTTTGAACCAATCACTCAAAATCCCCCGAATGCGCGCATTTGCAAGAATTGAGTTGAGGATCCCCCATCCATCCGATGACCAGAAACTGCTGATTTCCGATCGTGACTTGAGATCGATGCTCAAACCAATGCTTTGGTCTGTCCAGTGGATATACCCTTCCTTCCGAAGCTGCGGTATGTCCTCGACTGTCATCTTCGACTGGTCTTCGTGGAAACACTCCTTCAGAATATCATGCGCCAGAACCCCGTCCGCTAGAACACCGTCCGCCAGAGTACCATCCTCCTTGTCACCAAAGTTCTTCGTTGTAAAGATTGTTCCCCAATTTAAGTTCTCTTTCATGGTAGGCACGGTCTGATTTATGGGTAAGGGTAAATCGGGACGCATTGGCGTTGTTTGCATCAGAGGATGATTGGTATACAATAATGGAGATGGCTCTGATCGGGGGGTGAGAGGCTGTGAGAGGTCTCTTGCTATGTAAATTGCCGGCGGATCAGTGGTAGTTGACAACCGTTCTTGCCCCCCTGAGACGCACTCGATGAGCTTAACGTCTGTGATGTTCGCTATATCAGCCACATTGGTTGTAGCGATGCTTCGGTAGGAGCCTGCTGTGCTGGCATCAGTAGCAGCGGCAGAGATGTCACTGCCAGTATCAACAATCGCGAGTGAGTGCTCTGTGTCTCTAGGACTGGCCAAGGCCACTAAGTTGAAAGGCAATTGTGGGGATTGTAATGCTGTGATCGCGCCCCCCAACAATGACGACGATTGAGAAGGCGGAAAGTGCGAGTATTCTGACCTGGTTATAGCAGTAGTTGCCGGGGCTGTTGAAACCGGAGACCCCTTCGCAACGGAAGAAGTATCGCTGACAGCGGGATTGACCACGTCACTGTTTCCGTTGCTTCGATCATTCTCGTCACCGCGAAAGATTTGATGCTGTTTCCATTCCATTTCCATTTGCAGTAAAGGGGATGGTGAGGCTAGCCTGGTAATTAGCATGATGAATATTGCCAGGTAGAAATGCTGGAGAGAGCCATACAAGGTTGTATCCAGCGTAAGTCCTTCCCAAGCAGAGTCTTGGGCAGCAGACTTGTGAAAGCTGTGTACGGCGATTCTTCGTCATGTGTAGAGACATCAGCATCTTGTCTGTCCCGGACGGATGCAGGCCCATCCCCTTTGTAGGTAGCCGGGGAACAGAGTTGTGTCGATGAATGGGAATCCCCATACGATCGTATTCTGGGGAGGCCAGAGCATTCATTATCACTGTATTTCCGTTTCTGGGAAATTCTCATAGCCTCGTGGGCACCAGAAGAACTGTGCTCTTCGATCATGAAAGAAATTGACATGCACATTTGCGACAAAGATGCAGTATTTTGATCTGCGTCGTTATAGTCTGTGGCGGGAGAGCGTTGGACTTCAATGAAGGAGTTAGGCGGCACGTCCGAAGGAGGCGGACTGGGATCCTCCTGGACAGGAAGCACTCTGGCTGGTTCGGTTCCTCCAGATTGCTTGGAGGCCAAATTCCGACCAAACCCGAGGAGCTGGCATCTTTCGTCCATACACACATCGCACTGATTTCTGACAGGAATAAATTCTGTCGCCTTGGTATTGTCGAGACCCCACGTTCCATTTAGCTGGTCGTAACGACGGATGGTGAGCAGGTGAAGTAGTGTATCTGAATGCAGCTCCCGAAGATCTTCGACACTGATATCCTCCCAGAGAAATGATTCAAGCTTCAAAATGCGATGTCGAAATGCTTTGCCAATCTTTGCCAATTTTTGTGCGTGTGGGCTAGAATTAAGGTGCCTGCGGAGCTTTTCAATGTCATCGTTCGGCAGCCGTTCGAAGTGTTGAAAGGTGACAGTTGCCTTGCCACCGAAGGGCATGAAAGGCAGATAATCGCAGAGCTTAACAAGTTTGCGATCAAGTGTGAGTCGCCGACGGACCGCCTCTGGGGTGCGTTCCTCTCCGAGACCGGGAGCAAACTCGTTGATGATGCCTGTTGGTAGCTTGGGGTCCGGGGCTCCACTTTCTATAACGAGCTTGCTCCGAACTTTGAGATACATGCGTTCAACACCATATGCTCTCCAAATATAGGAAACCAGACTGCTGAACTCCGACTTCTTCTCCCACTCGCGGGCGAGGTTCAAAAATTTTTGCTCGTCACAGCCTTCTGGAAGGGCAGGAGCCTGTTGGGCACAGGCGAGTGCGTGGCTCCTGATACGCTTCGTCGCATCCGAGCCAGTCAATTCTTTCACCAAACTCTCTAGCGACGGCGCCGGCTTCTTCTCCCGCTTCGACGGCTGTCTCCGAGGTCTACCTGGCGGGTCGTCGAAGCGTGGGTTCCTCCGACGCACCGCATTCAACTTCGTCGGGTCAGAATCGAGATGTGCATGATGTGACTCGTTTCTTTCCCCTGCGCTGGCTTCCTTGGTCCCATCCATGACGGGTCCGTTGAAATTGGGCAGTGCTTGATTAGAGCGTCGACGTTCTCTCCGTACAAGACCGGCCGTCAATGGTGCAGACAAGTCTACTGGCCCAGCCCATCGTCGTCTAACTCTATGCTGGACGTCTCCAGGCAGCCTCTCGGAGGTTGGAAGTTGATCTTCGCTACAGTCGAGTCGCCCAGCTGGCGTGTCAACCATGACAAAATCATGATCAAATGATAGTGCTGAGGAGGCATTGACACGACGACCTTCTTCGGTCTTGGAAGTTACATCACCTTTTGGCGCGTTGGGAGTCATTGCGTTGAATCGAACCAGTGTTCATGAAACAAGAAATATAAAGCTTCAAAACGGCGTCCGTCGAGGTGTCTGTGAGGAATTCCTACCATCGGCGAAAGAGGATGCGGGGGTTGGCCCTTCGGAGCGGAAAAGAGCAAGGGCCGGTGGCATCCGAGACAACACAAACAGCACTGGTTCCCTGCCGCCAAGCTAAAAGCAGCAAGACACACGGGAACCCCCTGCGCGAGACGGGTAACAATGGTTAGATGGAACGAGACGCACAGGCTGCCCGCCTCGCCCCAGGCTTTCCGTAGCAACGTAGAGTAGACTTAGACTCTGTGATATGCCCGGCAATGTGCATACAGACGATTTAAGAGTGATGGCAAATATGAACATCGACTTGCTTTCCAATATGGGGCGGTGTGTTTAAGCATCAGCACAGCTAAAACACATTTGTGTCTTTGCCTGTGATTGACCGAGCTCTTATTCAAAAGCGTAGTTGCTAACAGTACAGCTAAAAACACGGATGTGCGATTGGCGCGCGCTCCCCGGGTGCATCTGTGGCGGAGCACGCTTTCTTGTCCGACCAATCATTGTGCTACAATCATTGTGCTACAAGAATAGCGTTCTTGGCAAAGCTAGACAGGGATACTGAGTACGCTAGCCCTCTTTTCGCAAGAGGTCAGAGAGATGGATGGATTCAGAGCAGCGTTGAGACAGGGCTACCAGCTTAGGACCAATTGTTCACTCACATCCCATGATGGTGTAAAACACTGCAAGTGTTGGTTCCTCGGCCGTGAGTTGGCAGAGTGGGGAGGGGCCCCTGCGTGCCCCGAGCCGCCATACCCCTCGCTATTAGGTGGGCTGGTGATCTCATTGCTCTACGTTGGAAATAGGGCGGTGACTAACTTAGCTTTCCCAACGTTTAATTGGCTTGTAGCAAATGTGAGATCGAGCTCATGGACTCAACCACAAATCGCATTGCACAGCATTTGAGAGGGAAATCTAATTTGCAATGAGATAGCCTAAACAAAAATCTCGTGGTTGAGTGAGCGCCTTCTCTTTGGATGTCGCTGCCTCGCTACCAACGTCTCGCTGCCTCTTGCTGCACAATTTCAAAAAAGTGTTTTATGTTTTGACAAACTCTAAGGTTTGTTCCCATTTAATCCAGAAGTGCAGCTCGCGATCTTTCACTTCTTCTCCAAGGATTTCGCAGGCGAGTCCGCTGGCTGACTATGATCTCGAATTTCGACCCCTCGATCCTGCCTACAATGAAAGGTGTGACTCTGAATGGCTTTTCCGGCCCTGCCCAACTCGAATCGAAGGCAGTGGGCAGAGCCCAGCTCTCGAGTGGCTTCTTCCCATTGTTTTATTGTTGGACCATATGCATCATTAGCAGATTGGTTGAGTATCAGAGTTCGCAGTGACTCCGGAGGCTTAAAGAAAAAAAGGTGCGTCTTCGGGGGCGAGCTGGGCTTGAATGTGACATCGGCGCGCAGTCGGAATAAGACGGTTGAGACATCGTGACGGATGGTAAAAATAATTCGCTTCAGGAGGGCCGCTTTATCATCACCGCATCGCCACGATATCGCAGCCGGCGTGACAAGGTCGATGCATGATGTTACGTCGAGAGAGCTTGTTTCTGAGGCAGTGGACTCGTCATCGCACATGGACGGATGTATACCTGCAAACAATCAGCAGCCGCAACAGAAGGAAAGCAGACGTACAAAAGCATGACCCCCTATCATTTTATTGAAAGGATTGCGTCAACACAAATAAGCTACCATTTGATCTACTCTGCTCTAGTGTAGTTGGACGATATTACTCCTGTGCAGACTAAGGAAAGGGGAGGAGAGAAATATTGTGGATGACGGACCAGTCTTAACTGAAGGTCTGAAGCTTCGCAACGATTCTTGCATGGCGTGGGCTGCCTGCCCCGTTAACAATTGCCGCACAATACTCGGCACGAGTATAGTATCTTCTCGCAGCTTCGCCCTTGTCCTGCTCTCGTAATAGGTCCCCCATGTTCTCTAGGGTATTCAACGCAGGAGGATATGTTTTCACCGAATTATCTCCTAGTGCTTTCTCGTACCCTTGGAGCGCCCGTTGGTACATGGCCTCTGCCTCGCCTAAGCGGCCTTGGTCGGAGTAGAGAATGGCCAAACTTCCAAAACTCCATGCTTCATCCTCCATATTATCCTTGTTTTCAACCAGTCGTAGACTATGATCTGCATGTTGGAGCAGACGTCGTTGCACCCACCAGAACTCGGATTCTGTCTCGTCAGGTACGTGCTGAGCTGTACATAGTATAGCTGTTCTCGCCAGTTGTAGGTTGGGTAGCGGATTGAGTACGTGTTGTATCTACGAATGCACACACCCATGCACGCTGTACCCGCGCGATTGCGTTCCGCATTCTCGTGTTGCTGGATCAGCATCTACCAATCCGTGCTGGCAGAGCACTCGCATAGACTGCTCAAAAGTGATTTGGTCCTCAGTAACGTCTTGCAGCCATTCCGGGATGGCAGGGTTTCTTTGGTGTAATAACTCGTGCCATAGATCGTCCTTATCGAAATATGCCCATAATGTAAGAAGCTTGGCGGCCGTGAAGTGTTGTTTTTCAATGTGCGTAAATGAGATGTTCCAGGTCGAGTACATAGCATACTCGTATGCCGGAAGCTGTGGGGTCACCTGCTGTAATCGTAGCCACGATTCCTGGTAAAGCTCGAGGTAGTTCGTCCAGGTCGTCGTGACCTCACACAAATAAGCGCCAGCGGTTGAGAGTGCAAGTGGGAGCCCGTCGAGTCTTTTGGCTACTTCGACTGCAGCCATGTCTAAATACAGGAGTTAGCAGACTGGGCTGTCTTCATGGCACTAGAGAATGCTCACACAGAAGCCAAGAGTTCCCACCCGAGCCGAAAGCGATCCAGTCCCCATCCGACCAGCTTTGCGAAATGTTACAGTACAGTATGTACATGGAGGCTAATTTGTATGTCTGGAGTGGCATAGGGTTAACGAGACAATTCTAATTACAACACAATTCGAGAGCTGTAACCTCAAGGTCTAGCGGTGGTCTAAGGGCCATTGAGGAGTAGGATGACCTTGGGTCCACTCAGTGTGGGCAATTTCCAATTACGTAAGAAGAACAACCATTTTCGTTGTGTGGAGGCCACTCTTGCAGGATAAAGGTCTCCAAGCGTGCACGTGACTTTGTGCACCCATGTCTTAGTGCATTCCTGGTATCTCCATCTCCGCCGCGCAATAGATATCCGCCCCTAAATGTTCCTACACCTATTGAACTCGCAATCGACCGCCCCGAACTAACGGTATGGGCCTGTACACAGACTTGTAAGACCACCTTTCTGCGCTGCCCTGCTACCCTGCTACCTTGCTCTTTGCTGACTGGATTGCACGTAGGTTTCGACCCTATCGCCCATTCGTTCCGCGTCGCTGAATCAGAAATCGAAGTGTTTGCCGACCACTATTCCATCCACGACCTCATGGACATCCCTCACGATTTACGAGACCGGTACTGTGAGCAATTGAAGAAGGAGTTGAAAGCAGAACGGGAACGCTTAGAGAATAAGTATGGACTTTCAAAGATGGAAATTGAGGCACAGTCACGCCGCGAGATGGATCAGTTTGTCTCGGGTGTCGACGAAGTTATCAGAAAGATGCAAAACGATCTTATGCAGATCAAAAAGTCCGTCGATTTGATCATTACTGCACAAGTAGACCGGCGCTTGGAATATCAACGACTGTGCCAGGAGCACGAAGCGAAGATGGCAGAGGCGAAAACGAATATAAATAAGAAGCTCCATAACATCCTTGCGCATGGCATACTTGGGGAGCCCGACGGGGTTCGAGAAGCCATTGAAACAGATCAAGCATTTTCTGGTTCGCCAGCCGGGATATTTGAATCGTCCCAGCATTGGTTATGTACATCCAAACCTGGCGAGAGCGGACCTGTACGGTCAGATATTCATACGCCCACGCCTCATACACCTGCGATTGCGCGCCCAGCAATGATGCCCCAGGCGTCCCCTCCCCGAGATTGCCTGACCCAAGATGCCCCACCTCAGGCGCTGATGCCTTCCAAGATTGTACACGAGATCTCAACGGACTACGTACCTATCGCGCCCGCTTCGACTCAGCCTCCGTCCTCAGCGGTTGCCCCATCAACCGGGGTCCACCAGTCGAAGGACTCAACTCGACCTCTCCCTTCATACAAAACGTCTAACGAGCTCAGGCGCATTATGCCTCATCCTACGCCTCAGTTGCCATTATCTTCGGCAAAGCCATCATACCAAGATGGAAAAAGGAACAATGCTGAGCCACCAACTGCTACCGTCCTCGGAAGGGCTGCAAAACGGCGTCGCGGAAGTAGACCTATCAGGCAGAGCCAGGCAAAGCCGCGTAATGTGGGCCTTTCCGATACTGCAGTCCAGCCCGGGGCGCAAAGCGAACGCAGCGAAGAGAATTTGAGAATTGCGAATTCAGACACCGTACAAGAGGCATCTGACTGCATTGTTATTGGCGGCTCCGAATGCTCAGGATCAGATAGCTACGCCGATGACGCTCGCGCCGGCGGACGCGAGGACGATGATAACCAGGGTTTGGATGAGCTATCTGCTCTTGGTCACCGCCCAGCGACATCAAACCGCAAGAAAGTTAGCATGCGCGGTCAGGATGCGGGTGACGCTGTGTGCGCTGCTGCCCCGGTAGATTGTCAGCGTCCGAGGACTGATGGAGTTCATGATCATGGAGTCACACCACTTGCGATGCCCGGCATGGGCATATCTGGCGAGGGACTTAGGAGCCCCAGCCCACAGCCTACCTTGGACAGCTACGAGCGCTTTGATCAATTTCAGGCACAGATGAATGATGCTGGGAAAAGCCAACAAACCCACACCAGATAGGTTTGCGCTCATGTTCAAGCCTCACAAAGAGTAGGTGAAGATGCGTCTCGGCACATAGCACTGTAACGGAGGCTGGTCGTCTAGCATAGTACTGAGAAGAGTCCGGGAATGTTTGGAAACTTAGTTATCTGCCTTCCATCACAACATACGGGCGGTACCCTGCCAGCTACGTACGGGCGTGGAAGGATGCCTATCATAAAGAGGCGCAGAAGCTTCGATATAAGAAAGGGAAGAACAAAAAGCTTAAGGCTCTGTATTAGGAGGCACTTGCAGAGGTTGATCATCGCAAGCGAGACTCGGCATTATTTTACTGCCGCATGCAAGAGCTGGAGGCGGAAGAGCCACAGGAGAAGACGACACAAGATCGACAGCTTTCGGACATGACGAAGTTGTTTGATGACCAAATTCGCGAAGAGGGTGTGATCGACATAATTTCTGAGAATGAATCGGTCATTTCCAATAATAGCCTTCCAGTAAGCGATGTTGGGAACTGTGATACACGCAAGCGCAAGACGTCGAACGGCGGAGAGGAGGATGAGAACGAAGAAGAAACAGCAAGTGTGGAAAAATTGCCTAGCAAGAAGAGGCGCACCAACCCGAGTAGAACTGGCAATGAGTAACGCAGTCACTTGACGTCTCTTCGCACCTTGCGCCGGATGGTTCTCGTTGATAGTGGGTGATGTTGTTGACGTAATGGGCCCACGTGGTAAATGCCAGAAGCACATTGCAGAAGTACAGAGCAAAGGAACAACTTCTGTTCTGAAGTTATATTGTCTAGCCAACACGGACACCATTTCAGCAGCCTCGTCTAAGCTCATAATAAATCCTTCCTTTTCGTGACGCAGCGGCGCCTCGTCTTCCGTGTTTCGGCCTTCGTACTCGCTGTCTAGACGCGTCCTACGCGCCGCGTGTTGTCTTTCAACTTCTCAAATGCGAATTTTGCGGGATACGCAGAGTATTAGCTAGGTCTGTGGTAGGTGATGTGGTCGGCAGAGACTCCCGAGCCTGATCCGTCGAGGTAAAGGTTCTGCAGGACAAGCCGCAGCGGTGTTCGGCCGTTAGGAAGCGAATAGTCACTGGTAGTAATGTGTGAACAATGAAGGCAAGAGGACCCCCTTGGGAGAAGAAGGGTGGCTCTAAGCTGCTACGCACCTAAGATCACATTTGATCAATTTTTTTTCTTTTTTGCTTTCCTTGTGATTGTATTCCACCGCGTCCTTGCGACATGAAACATGAATTGGTAATCACCGCCGGTCTTCTCCGTACTCAACGGAACGGGGCAATCGTGGCCCACAAGAACAGCAACCTCGATCGGATCGCGCCCTTGGTATTTGTGGGTCTCTTTTTTTATCTACATGGAGCCTTTAGTAAGTGAGCGCATTGACGTGATGGGAGGCTGCCGCCCACGTCAGCCAGTCTTGCAACTTCCAGTCTCGTTAGAAGGCCCGCGATATGCACCACAAGAGATGTGCTTCTCTAGCATACTTATGCTCCGCCCCTGTTCACAAAAAGTCGCTTCTATCCACGTCTTCAGGAAATACAATGAATGAGTCTAAAACGTGCTCTTCGAATACGAGAATGATGGCCAAGGGCCTATTGTACAGTGCCAACTAGGGGATGAGAAGGCAAGACGTGCGTGCAGCCTTCAATAGTCTGTATTCGTGTGGCATGCTGTGCAATCGAATTTGCGCGAAAATGGATGGTTCAATAAGGATTGCGGAGAAAGAAACCGAGATCCAGCCGCAGAACGAAGCATATTAATCAAATGACGGAAATACAAGCCGAAACAAAAGCTCATAACAATCTTCAACTTTGGACAGCGTGCAATTTCGCCGCCGTGATTTTCTCTGATAGCAAACGAGGAAAGGGAAGGAGCTTTGACAACCCAGCACTACTTCTTACTGCTGCGAGCTTATGGGATCTATTCTTCTGGGACTTTCAAATTGCTTCAGCATTCAATCGAGGTTTTAGGGGTCGTGGACGTGTCTGGTGAGATGGTGGTCAGCGAGTATATCGAATCGTGTCGGGAATACTTGCAGGTTTTGTGGCCTTGCTGGCTCCAAGTTCAGTTGCCTTTTCTAGCACTTTGCGGAGTTCCCTCGAGCGCTTTTTGGCCGCCTTTTTGTGTTGCGCAGGGAGCCCCGCTCCATCTTGCGCCTCCCTGTTGGCCGTGCTGTCTGAGACAGGCATCGTCTGATGTTCTGCAGCTTGGAAAGTGAATGCGCTTGGGCCCAGACTTGCTACGAACGGATCATAGTTGGTGTGTTGAGTGGAATCGTCGTACCCTACATTAGGCCTCAATGGTCGCTGCCAGGCAGAGTCCAATGTCTCAGGTGTGAGTTGACCCCCGGCCAATGCTCTCGTCGGTTGACTTGATGACGGTATAATATAGGAAGAAAAAATTGAATTGTCGAGTCCCGCTACGTGAGAGTAGCTGTTGCTCAGTGGTGGGAGCGATTGTAGTGCGAATTCGTCATAAGACGGTACCAGAGACTGGCTGTCGTCGCCTGGCGCACTGCGCCCTGGCGTGGAATTATTGGTTGCGCTCGTTGATGGGGAGCTCGTTTCCACATCGTTAGAGCCACCTTGTGGTTGTTTTATTTCTATTGCGAAACGGCGCATAGGTGAACAGAAATCAGTTCGGTCCAAGAGCGTTTTCATCAGGACCCAACGTGGTCTGTCAGGACTTCCCTCGTGTTTGATGCACCATTTCGGAAAGCGCTCAAAGAAGTATTTTTTGTAAGGACAAGGTGGTGGGCTGTTGCCGCAGAGTTGGTAGGAAGCAGGCGATATAGGATCGCTCACGTCCCATTTCCAGGCTGACGGCAGCTCTGAACCGCAGACCTGAAAAGCGATTCTCGCGCCGCAGTCGAAGAGAAGAGTAAGAACACCATTTTGGTGCACCTCGGTGAA